TTGGATCTCTATATATGCTATTCAAATCTCTTTGACGAACTCCATCCCAAAAGTTGTTTAGATCATTGTTCACGTCATCTACTAACCCTCCAAGATCATCAGGAATAGGGTCAGGAAGATGATATTCAGAGAGTGGCCTACTTTCATAGAAACTAGTTGGTGGCGTCATCAAAGATGAAGAGCAATATGCCGGAAGTTAGTGTGAAGAGCCATATGCCCGAAGTTGGTCTGAATAAGCAAACGACGGCGTCTTCCGTTTCGCTGTCGTCTCCTCCGATTTGTTTCTTGTCTTCTTTGGCACTAGAAAGGAAAGGAGATCAGACCTACCTTGTTTGTGTGAACTCTCACCATGATTTTGCTTTTTGGACATTGTGAAGTAGTTGTAAATTGTGAAGTTGATTGAACAAATTGAAAGTGGTGATTGCAATTTATACAATATATGTTGGTGAACATTATGGAATTCTTCTTGCATGAATTAATTAATTAATGCATGCCTTAGTATTTCATGAAATAAAAAGCAAATTTACAATTAAGCATTCTGTAATAATTAATATTTTGGAACTTACATCCTAAAATGGTTGGCAACTTCTTAATTTGTTTAGGACGTTAGACCAATCTTCTTAATATTATTTAGAATATACTAACCATTACTATTACCAATCTTCTTAATATTATTTAGGATACCAACCATTACTATGATATGACATATTTTTTTAAAGACATACTTTTAAATTTGTTTCTACTATGTTATCAATGCTATTTTATTAAATAATAGAAAATTAAAGTATAATTAGCAAGAAATGAAACAGTGCTATTTATAAATAATATACTACATCCTACTACAATACATTTTAATAATGTATATTTTATTTAATTTAAAAACATACTCATTTGAAAGCAAAATGCTTTGCTACAACTCTATCTTTTAATTTGTATTAATATTGATACTAATATGCTTTTTATTTTATCTACTTAAATTAAACTTTTAGAAAAAATATTATAAAAAACTAATTATTTTATTCTAGGAACTTTACAATATACATGTACAAAACTTTAAGCTAATTTTATTTAATAAAACAATGTTTCCAAATGTTTACAGTTAACTCCGTTAATTTTATTAATATATGTATTTTATTTGATAAAACGTAAAAACCATAGTGCTTGCAAAGGTTAATAAATGTATTTTATTTTATTTTATTTAAAGTTTGAACTATTGCGTAGACCATGGCCCACACAGTGTTATGTGGACCATACCAAAAAGTACATTTTTATTATACTAAATGTACATTATTTTTGTACTGAATGTACATTAAACAATATAATGTACACTCAGTACAAAAATCATGTACATCCCCTGAATATAATATACATTATTTTTATACTAAATGTATATTATTTTTGTACTGAATGCACATTATTTTATAGTATACAAAATATGGTCCACCCAATAATGATTGTTGATTATTAGTTTATGAGAAATGAATAACTGCCAGTATTTATAAAATGGGAGTTGCGTTTTTGTTCCTTGATTCTACACTGCTCGCGAAATAAAAAAATAAATAAATTTTGGACTCTAGTTATCACTCTAACAAATTTTTTTTAAAAAAAAAAAAAAACCTTTTTTTGATATGGAGCAGCTGAGGACTTCCAGCATTCTGCAGAAAATCACCTGAGGGTTTCTACAGGATCTGAACTAGAGCTGCAGTTGTAGAAGCTTGAGGAAGGCTACAGACTGACCTGATGCTGAAGTTAAAGCCCTGATCTGCCAAGGCTTGCTTGGTAAGTGTGGCTTCCCCTTTGGTTTGTGGAATGTTTGTTGGTTTTACTTGGCTTGCAGGTCTAGAAATCATTGGTTCATCCTTGGGCTCCATTGCTTGGTTCATGGGACTAAATGGTCCCCTTGTGAAAGTGCAGCTGTACCAACAGGGGGTTCCATCTTGTGAGCCAAGGATGGGGGTTCCTGGCTATGTCTTTTGGGGGGTTTGAAGTCTGTTGGTTGTTCTATGATTGTAAAATAAGAGGTCTGCAATTCCCATGGATGTGATCTCTGTGTGGATGCTGGGTATGGCAGTTTGGTTGGATTTAAGACAAGAAAAGGGAAAAAGAAAGCATAGAATTGCTGGAATGAAAATGAAAATGAGAATGTTTAGGGTGATGGTTTGATGGTTTGTTGGTGGAACTTCTCTATTGCTTAGGGTGTTGAACTACATAAGTTTGCCCCGGTAAAAATGCAGAGCTCTGTACGGGGTTGAGCTGGCTTGGGTCCTAAGGGTAGAGGCTCTAGGCTACCATTGCTTAACTCACAAGGTCAAATGATCCCCTTATGCAAGTACTTTGGTATCAATAAGGGGTATCATCTTGTGGACTAAGGGTGGGTCGTCTCATTGCCTTTAGTGGGGGCATAAGTTACCCCTCCGGCTAAAACACGGTTTGCCGTGCGCGGGGGGAGGGGGGTTGACCTTGCGCTTTAGGGGTGGGGACGTAGGGTTCGCATAGGGTGACTCATATAGGGGCATTGCTCATGACCTTCTTATAAGCATGATGGGTTTGCTGGAATGAGGCAAGAAACACTAGACCAATGGCAAGATGATAAGAAGGGATGAACCAATGATGCACGGACATGAAAGACAAGAATGGAGGGTGCTATGAATGGAGGTGGGGGAAGCCATACTTGGTAAGCAATCCGGAAGGAGATCAGGGTTGGGGCCTTGGTTGATGGTTGGTGTTCAGTCTTGGCTTGTAGCCTTTGTAGCTTTATTTTGTTGTAAGGCCAAATGGACATTTTGCTTTAATCTGTAAGGCCATATGGCCCTTGTCTGTGTAGAACCTTGTTTGGCATGATATGAAATATACACAGCTTCTATGAAAAAAAAAAATACTTAAAAACATAAATTAACACTCTAGGGTAAGGAATTAGCATGATTCAAAACTCCCCGAAATAGGTATTCTTATACTGAATTAATATTTAGAAATTATTACATTGTTAAATTTAATAAAATAAATTATTATAGCTAAATGTAAAGTAACAAAAAAATGACAATACTTTAAATTTGAATCTTTACCATAAGTCATTACAACAATATATTATTAACATTATTTTTAGCCTAAATCAATACAAATATAAATCATTTTCATAAATTTTTTTTTTTTTGAATGCTACTAGCTCTATTACAATGTAATTCTGTTCATATACTTTCTCAACCTACTGAAACACAAAGAGCTAGTAACGCCTCTACTGAGGCTCGAACTCACAATCTTCCAAATGGAAGTCCAACCCGAGTACCATTAGACCACATAGTCCTGGTAAATCATTTTCATAATTTAAGTATATAATTGTTTAAAAAAAAAGAAAAATAGAATAAAAAAATATATATCTAAATTCGAATCAAATGAAATTATTTCAATTTTTAAAATTTTGAACTGTAATTTTAAACAACTAAAAATATAAAATTATAAAGATATTGTTAGGAACATATGTATTAAGATTTTGATGATACCAATGAAACTTAGATTGTAGACCCTAACTTTTTATCAATTCTTTTGCTAACTTTGTTCTAGACGAAAGGTGCCATAACTCACCATGTAATTCGTGTTAAGATAGTCAAACACACGAAACCGAGTTATGATCGTTCTAGTTAGGACTCCTTGGACGAAAGAAGATCGAATGATTGAAGCAAAAGCTACATCAGCAAGAGAATCTACTTCTCGGATTTCCAACAAATGGAAAGATGCTCCTTCACTGGACGAAAGCAATCTTTCGTGAAGAGACGTTAAGTCTATGATCAGACTGCCAAGACAATTCATCTTCCCGTAATTCAAGAGGAATGTTGTCCAAGTCTCAGCTGATGAATCATCCTAGGAACAAGTTATCCTAAGGACAAGGAGCACATAAATCAAGATGCATTAAATGCCATTGTACCTCTTTTCAGAGCTAGAAGACAAAACTTGCAGAAGTTCTTGCCACCAACGATTATTTGGTACAACCGCATTAAATGGAGCATTAAATGCAGTAAGCTCTCCGGACATTACCCACTGGTCCATAGGTTTGAAATACCATCTCCCTCCAACGGATGGATATTTTCTCTCCTATAAATACCCATCTTCTCCATTGAAGAAGGTGCTGGTTTTTGCTCAATTGATCATATTCATACAAAAGCTCCTTATATAAGTTCACTCTTCCATGCTTTTGAAAACCAGTGATTCAAGTTGTGAAGTTTTAAAGAGAGCCATCAGATTACACCTTCACAACCTTGAAGAAGTCTTGCATCTTATATACATTGATCATCCATCATTCAACCAGTCAGTCAAGACTTCAACCTGTTGGAGAACCACACAAATTTCTTCTACCAACCCTCAACTCTGAAGAAGGCGTTGATAGAGGCGGAGTAAACTCTTGGAATTGAAAAACCTTCAAGTAGCTGTCCGGCTTAGTGATCAAGGAAGCTAGCTTGACTTAGTTTGTACTAGGAGTGATAGTGCAAACCTTTCACGAGTTGTGAAAGAAGAGTGGAGTAGGTACATTTGGCCGAACCACTATAAAAATCTCTCGTCTCTCTTTCCTTATTTACATACTACTTTACTTTCGTGCATTGCATATCATAGCCCCTCAAACCGAAAGTTTTTATAAGCATAAAACAGTGCAAGGCAATATTAAAACTCGTTAAACCAATCCGCTGCGTAATAACCCCGAAAGGAGTTTTTTTTTGTAAAAATCGAATTGAGTCTATTCACCACCCCTCTAGACTCTCCCTTCGACCCTACCGGGACCAACAAGTGGTATCAGAGCAGTTACCTTGATCGGTAAACACTTTGCCTTTACTGCCTGGTAGATCCCTTCTTAAAATTCTCTAAAACTGCGTTTTCTTGTCTTTGCACTATTTTTACAAAGAGAAAATGGAAAAAGATCATTCTAACCGATCTAGGCCTCTTGCCTTCAATTTGTCTAAGTTTGATGACTGGAAAGTGAGAATGCAGGCACATCTTTCGCTATCCACGACGAGATGTGGGATGTGATAACCACAGGACCTATCATCGTAATGATGGTAAACACTCAAGCTGCTGCACAAGGAGCATATGCAGAACCCATGATACCCAAGCCAAAATCTCAACTCAATTCAAATGAGAAAAGTCGAGCAAATCTGGACAACGTGGCACGTGACATTCTCTACAAATCTCTGGATGACTCCTTATTCCCGAGAGTACGGAAATGCAAGACTGCTATGGAAATCTGGAACGTTCTCATGAATCTGGGAGAAGGAGACGAGCAGGAGAAAGATAACAAACTCACCGTGGCCATGAAGAAATTTGAAGATTTCAAAATGATGCCCAGCGAAGCTATCACTGAAATGGAGCTCAGATTCACAAAACTTATGGGTGATCTCTCGGACCTTGGAAAGGAGCTAACTGAAAAGGAAAAGAACTTAAAGATCCTTCGGGGAATCCCAAAATCTTGGGACATGAAGGTTACAGCCAAGAGAGATCACAGAGATATGAAAACTACAAGCACGAATAAGATATTCAGTGATTTTAAAGCATATGAATTCGAGCATGAGCCGAAGGAATCTGAAGAACCCGAAACAAGGAATATAGCCTTGGTGGCTAATCAACAAGCATCAACGTCTAACAGGTCAAACTCTAACTCTTGTAATTTCTTATCTGACGAACAATATGCTTTGTTTATGCGAAAAATGAAATGGTTTATGAGGAAGAACAATTTCCAAGACTTCCAACGACCATCAAACTGAAGACAACACGAAAGATCCCCACAATCATCAAAACAAGAAACAATGGACTCGCAGATGCTATGCTATAACTGCCAAAAGCTGGGACACTTTATGGCGAACTGTACGTCCACATCCAATAGTCAGCAAGTATCAAGATAATAGTGCAATCAAGAACTTGTCAAAAGAAACAAGCGAGTCCACCAAGAGAAATGATAAACTAGAATCATCGAATTCTAGGAACGAAAGAAGACGAAGAGCCATGGTTGTGAACGAAACAGTTGAAACCATTGAAACCGAAAGTAGCTCTTCAAGTTCAAGCTCAGATGATGAAAGCACCGAAGAGGAAAAAGGGCTCCTATGCCTATTCAGCCAAGAAACCAATGATCTCTGCCTAGTTGCTGAAGATGATGAGGTAAATTCTCAATCTTCCTCTTCTTTTTCACTATAAACTAGTTATGTCAGTGGACAAAGTTCCAATGAGTCAGTTAGCGAGATGACGAGGATGTTCACAATCATAAAAAGCACATACTCTAAGCTAAAAGAGGAGAACTCTCGACTAATGATTAGCCACAATGAGCTAAGGCGAGTTCGAATAGAGAACATTAAGCTAGCCATTGTAAAAGATTAGCTCGAAAAACAAGTTTTATCTCTTAAAGAGCAGTGTACAGAAAGGAAGATGCGGGAGCAACAATTGCGTGAGGTTCTTGATTCGTTCAACAATTCATCCAATCTAACGGACCGAATGGTGAATGGATCAAAACCGCCTGGGGAAAGAACCAGAATTGGTTATGACCTCAGCTCCCCTTCACATGTCGTATTGAACAAACCCACAAACGTCTATTCTCGTGAGAGTTTTAGATCTGCGTTTGTTCAAGGCCCTACCCAAGTGTCTGAGCCAATGACTAGGATTAACAATGGTGAAGTGCCACAATCAACAAGCCAACTGAAAGGAAAGGCTGTACAACGAATTGTGGAACCTAGGAAGGAAAATTCTTTGAAAGGCAATCCTAGGCACAAAAATGCCAAATGGAATGGACCAAAAGGTAATAGATCCAATCTATACCATAAAAAGGGTCAGCCTACAAGGAACGATCAAACAAGGTCAAAACCGAATGTTAATAAGAGGCAATATCATTCCAAGCCTACACAAAAGGATCCTCTACGAGGAAATCCGAAAGGTGAACGCATCAGACATGCCGAGAAGTCACTTAGAAGACCTCTGTCTGGCAACGGATGGAGTGGACCATCTGAAGAGGATTGGCTTGTTTATCCCGAACCTTTGTCAAAAGCGCAATTTGAGAAAATACATCGGCATAAGCAAACCAATTATTCTAAGCAGTATCATAATCCACCAGATGATTACTTTCAAGAGCGATACAAAGCCAAAACCTTTGCTAAAATCTTTTATGATTATCGTGTTTTTAATGGGTACAGAGGATTGAGAATGAGTCGAGTTAACTCTAGGTTCGTATGGATCCCAAAATTGACCTCTAACTCCGAAGGCTACAATGTCAAATTCTCCAAAGACAAATGCAACGTTGTCAGCACGAGAGATGGTGAAACCGTTCTTACAGCCAAGCGAAAGAAAAACATATACGTTGTATCTTGGAATTTATCTAATGCTAATGTTTGTCTTGTCGCAAAGAATAATGGAGATCTAAGCTGGGAATGGCATAAAAAATTGAGCCACTTAAATCTAAAGACCATCAACATACTAGCCAAGAAAAATCTCGTGGAAGGCCTACCGAAATCAACCTACGTTAAAGACAAAATTTGTGAGGCTTGCCAAAAAGGAAAGCAAATCAAAACTTCGTTCAAGTCCAAAGACAAAGACATAAATTCTCGTCCATTAAGTTTATTACATATGGATCTATTTGGACCAGTCGATCCTGCGAGTCTGAGTGGACGAAAGTATACTCTTGTCATAGTGGATGACTACCCAAGATATGCTTGGACACTTTTCTTGAAGAAGAAGAATGAAACAGAAGTAGTACTACTTGATCTTCTAAGACAACTTCAGACTAAAAAGGAAGTCAACATCATAAGAATTAGATCAGATCAGGGAACCGAGTTTGTAAATAAAGTCATCAAAGAGTTCTGTGGACAAAATGGCATATTCCATCAACTCTCAGCACCACGTACTCCACAACAAAATGGAGTGGTTGAAAGAAGGAACAGAACCTTGAAAGAAGCAGCACGAACTATGATCGCATACTCTGGTCTGCCTAAACGTTTTTGGGCTGAAGCCATCAATACAGCATGCTACACACAGAATCGATCATTGATCAACAAAGTTCATAACCTGACTCCATACGAGCTATGGAAAGGTAATAAACCTATTATCAGTTATTTTCACATCTTTGGATGCAGGTGCTTTATTCACAACAATGGGAAAAATCATCTAAGAGCTTTTGACTAAAGAGCCGATGAAGGATTGTTCATGGGATACTCATTAGTAAGCAAAGCCTTCAGAGTTCTAAATAAGAGAACAATGGTCATAGAAGAATCTATACATGTTAAATTCGATGAGCAAGCTGAAAAGATCCCAGTTGAGACTAAAACTTCCAATACACAAAGTTCAAGCACTCAAGAGAACGTAACAAATGAAGAAGAATATTCAGACCTTGAAGATCATCTTCCATCCTACATGAGATATCAACCAAAATCAACAAAACCCGAAACCAGAGTTCAAACTGATGTGGGCACACAAAGTATGGTCCATAATACTCAAACTGCCTCCGAACCAATGATATATATCGATCTACCTTACATTCCTGAAATGGATGCTCAAGATCAACAACAGTCTTTTGAACCTGATTTGAGATGGCTAAGAGATCATCCACCCGATCAAGTTATTGGAAATGTTCAAGAAGGAGTAAGAACTCGAGCCTCTTTACATGAAAATATGATGGCTTGCTTCCTATTGCAAATGGAGCCTAAATCCATCGAAGAAGCTTTAAATGATCCAGATTGGGTCATAGCTATGCGAGAAGAACTCCATCAATTTGAGCGAAATAATGTCTGGGAACTTGTTCCTAGGCCTACCCATCAAAATTTTATTGGAACTAAGTGGGTATTCAGGAACAAAATGAGTGAAGATGGCCTAATTTTTAGGAACAAAGCTCGACTTGTTGCTAAAGGCTACTTCCAAGAAGAAGGCATTGATTTTGATGAAACTTTCGTTCCTGTTGCTAGGCTTGAAGCAATAAGAATGTTCTTAGCCTATGCAGCTTATAAAGACTTCAAAGTGTATCAGATGGACGTAAAAAGTGCGTTCTTGAATGGTCTCCTAGAAGAAGAAGTCTATGTGGAACAACCACCTGGTTTCGCCATAAACTGTGAAAATGAAAAAGTATACAATCTCAAGAAAGCTCTATATGGGCTGAAACAAGCTCCACGAGCTTGGTATGAAACTATATCGTACTTTCTTATAAACTATGGATTCACGAAAGGAGCTGTTGATAAAACACTCTTTCGAATAAAAAATGATGATCATGTGTTGCTTGTACAAATCTATGTTGACGATATCATTTTTGGATGTACGAATCCTGATCTATGTGAACAATTCTCAAATCTCATGCAAGGGAAATTTGAAATGAGCATGATGGGAGAATTAAATTACTTTCTTGGATTACAAGTTAAACAATGTCCAGATGGGATATTCATCAATCAAGCCAAATATACAAAAGACTTGATCCGAAAGTTTGGAATTCATGGAAAATCCTCTGTTAAAATTCATACGAGCACATCGCTAAGAATGGAAATTGACAACGAAGGGAAGGATGTGGATCAAAAGAAATTTCGTGGAATTATTGGATCCCTTCTCTAAAGAAATTTCGAGGAATTATTGGATCCCTTCTCTACCTAACAGCAAGTAGACCTGACATTTCTTTTGCTGTTGGGGTATGCGCAAGGTTTCAGTCAAAGCCGAAAGAAAGTCATTTGAGTGCTGCCAAAAAGATTCTAAGATACCTTAAAGGGACTCAAAGTGTAGGACTTTGGTACCCGAAAGGAGGTTTTTTTGATCTTGTTGGCTACTCAGATGCTGATTTTGCTGGTTGCAGGATTGATCGTAAAAGCAACTAAGGAACCTGCTAGTTCCTAGGGAGAAGGCTTGTATCTTGGTTTAGCAAGAAACAAAATTCTATTGCAACTAGCACATGCTGCACAGCTGAAGCCGAATACATTGCGGCTGGCAGCTGTTGTGCTTAGATTTTGTGGATGATTCACCAATTGAGAGATTATGGTGTAATAGCATGAGAAGTGTGCACAAAATGTGACAATACAAGTGCTATAGCTATCACACATAATCCTGTTCTACACTCTCGAATAAAACATATCGACATCAAGTATCACTTTATTCGTGATCACGTTGAGAAGAAGGTCATCTCTCTTGAATATGTCAATACAGATGATCAGCTAGCAGACATTCTCACTAAAACACTTTGTGAGACTAGGTTTGCTACTCTTCGACACGAAATTGGAATGATTGAAATGACATAACAAGCATGCAAAAGTTTCTTGGAAAGATTCCAAAAAGCAAATCTTGAGAAAATCAAAAGGAAATTTGTTGGATAGTTTTGCACGCAAGTTGATATCTTTTCTCGCTATAAAAGGAGAATCTTTGCCTACCAATACGCTCACACTAATCCTACATTTAACTGTATTCTTCTCTAGAACTTCTCGTTTGCAGGTATGAGCACAGGGAAAGAAAAAGAGAAGATGGGTCAAGAATGTGAGAAGCGTACTGATAAGATAACCAACACGAAGGTTGTCAAAATCTCAGAAAATCATCCTAATGAAGCGGAAATTTTCCTCGATCCCTTTGAGATTGAAGAAAACAAGGAGGCTATGGACCAAACCCTAGCGGACTCACAAGCAAATTAGGAACTTACTGAACAGGAATATCAAAAATCATTCAACTCATTTAGCGATCTAGACAAGTACAAGGACATAGAAAGTGTACTCGAAAGGAGTGACAACTATGACTACTCACCAACAAGTACTCCACCCAAACTGTCCTCACCCCTGAGATCAACCGCAAGCAGCAAGAAGAAAATGGACTAACCGGACGAATCTTCGTAAAAAATTATCACCTTTTCTTATGTGCTAAAATCATAATTGTCTTCTGTTGTTTCATTTGGATCATGAAGTCAAATGTTATCTTCATATGTCATGATGATCATTCCTGATCTTTGCAACTTCTACATATCTATTGGTCAAAATCACAAGCACTATGTGAAAGTAGGATTGCATCCATACGTCACGAAATCGGGATGATCAAAATGATCTAACGTACAGGCTTTATGTGAGGAACCCATCGGTAAGATTCCTGAAAGATTCCAAAAAGAAGATTTAGCACTAGAAGCTAAAATCTTATTGAAACATCTTCACGCAAACATTCACCTTTTTTGCACCTATAAAAAGGCCTCATCTCTAAAAGAAACACTCACACTAACCTACTGACGCATTTTTAAGTGTTTTAGTAATTTTGATTGCAGGAATGAATCAAAACAGAGGAAAAAGAAGAATGGATAAAGCCGAGAAGCCGTGCTGGTAGACGAGACCAACACCTAAAGGAAACAGGCAAGATAACGAATGCTACTGTCATCAAGATAGAAGAGACTGGTGACAAAGTAAACATCACATACTCTCTACCAAACACAGCAAGCAGAACGGGACGAGAAAACATAGACAAAATTTTCTCAGAGTCTCAAGCAAAAAGAGAATATCATCTGGAACAAGCTCGAAGAATGGAAAACGAAAGAATTATGGTTCTCAAAAGTGCACATGGTAATTCATCCCAAGGATCACCACCCACCTTTCGTTGGTACCCAATTTCTGATGTTCCACAAAAAGTTGACGAATCTTTTGAAGATTTCTCTCTTGTTCAAACTCAGTCACCAAGTGGTTCACTTGAGCCCACCCTCTCTCTTGAGGAGCTGGACGAATATGCAAACATGGCTCGTGTACCCGAAAGGACTGACGAAACCTCTCATATGGAACTCCACATGCCTTACTTATTTCTTTAAAAAAACATCTATGTGTAAGCTGTGGTCATCTACGTTCTGGATACTCTCAATAAATGTCCCTGTTTTTGATTGCTACTCTTAATGAGTTCCTTGACCAAGACCTCAAAATGAAATATTGTCAAAGATCTAATTGAATTCTGAAATGACATCTCATTAACTGTTCAAACCTGAACTTGAGAGTTATGTGGAATTTTATGGTCTTAAATACTATGACATTGGTCAGTTACGAAGATCACATGAATTAAATCTCCTTTATATTGACAAGATTCCAGTAACACCAATCTATAGAAGACACGTCAACCGTAACTCAGGATGAAATTAAACTTTTCATTAAGGATATCAGTGCTACGTTGAAAAAGGAGTATATACATTGAATGGATATCTCAAATCCTGGTTATAAAAGGAGGTTATTGTGGATGGTTCATCATCACCCCATAATTTGATTACAATGGCTCCTCATAAGCCCATCACCAGAGATGCAACAAGGAGAATCAAAGAAAGGGCCCGCCTAGTTCAGGAAGAACAAGGTGACCTATATCCAGGAAACAGCATGCGGGCTCCATTGGACGTTTCATCGGACTCAGAACCCACGAACTATGATAGATTCAACGTATGAATCTGATGAAGAACCCCCACAAGCTGATCCTAAAGAAGCACTTCCTCTCATTGTCAAAAAGGGAATTCTATCTAAAGAAGCATAGAACAATCCACACCTTGACAAAGATCTTCGCACCTTCTTCAGTATGTATGATTGCAAATGTGAACTTTGCGGATATTTGAAGGAAGACTCTTATGACAAAACAGGATCCTCTGTTGGCTCATCTCGTCCTGACTTTTCTGCACCAAAGAAGAAAACCAGAAAGGATGAGGGGGAATCCAGTAAGGCGAAGAAAGGAAAAGAGAAGTAGTTTCTTCTCAAATTATCTTAAGATGTAACGCTTTATCCTTCAATGACTGTTCTCTCACCTTGGAATAAAATTTGAACTGTTATGTTCTAATCATGTGTTCATAGAGAGACAAATCTTTATTTGATTTATTTTATCTAGTTTGAACCAAAATACAACAAATGCACAGACTCCTATGAAACAAAACTCTGGCTGTTACACATTCTAAGGGGTCATTATTGAATTCCGCGTTATCAGTAAAAAATGAAATGAATGGTTCGCTGACTAACGTAAAAGCGTTGAATGGTCATTCAATGACCATTAAATTCAATGAGGAACATCATTCATTTTCAGCTATAAAAGGACATGAATTGTGAACAAAAAATTCACTTATTCTCATTCTCTTTCTGAGTCTCACCACACATAGAAAAGTCACTCATGGCATCCCGCAGGCCGGTTACACGTTTGCAGAATCAGAAGCAAAAAGAAACTGCCCGTAAAATAAGAGAAGAGCAATGAGACTTTTATCCTGGAAATAGCATGCAGGCTCCTATAGATCTCTCATCAGACGAACATCTTGAAAATGATGATGAATCCCTCATCTCTGAACTTGAAGAAAACCCCATTGCTGATCTACAAGAAGCTCCACCACCAGTAGAAGGAGGAAGAAATTTTCCCTCCGCTGAAGACTGGAAGAACCCCCTTGCTGATCGTGATTATCTTATGTACCTAGGGTGTGTTTGGAAATCCGGAAAATGATTTCTGGAAATCATTTTCCGAGTTTTTGGTGTTTGGCTAGGCAAGGAAAATAGGAGTCAAAGGAAAATAACCCAAAGTCAATGAAAAATCACCTCACTTTTCTGGAAAATGGTTTCCCCTTTTTTTGGGGGAAGTCATTTTCCATCTTCATTCAACGCAACACTTGCCATCTCCACGCCTCTATCAACGCAAGAACAAGCTCCACCAACAAATCCATCACCAGAAAAATTCTACCGGAAACCTCCTCATCACTGGTTTCTGCATCGGATCTGGTTTCCGATGCGGAAACCAGAGAGGTTTCCGCATCGGAAAACACTGTTGCGCCGGCCGATCATCGTTTGGACGCCGGAGATTTGAAGCTGCCATATAGGCGAAGGTCCTGAGGGACCTCCACCCTCTCATATGTCACTGGAAGGGCCTCTAATGGCCGCTGAGTCATCAGAACCTGGAATCGCGACAGAGATCGCGAAGGGCAACCGGGAGGCGATTCTACAATCGCACCCAGCTGAGAGCTCTGGGGTAGCAAATTTGATGGAGGAAAGACACATCAATGATGTCCGCTACATCAGAACTGAGCATCAAACAACAATGGGAAAGATCAAAGCCAAAGCAGAAATTGCGAAGAGGTCTCATCGGAAACACATCTGGGATTTTTTTTTTCTCTTTCTCAGTATTTTTTTTATTGTTTGTGAAATCAATTCCTCTAATATGTGTAGAAATGGAAGTGATTGTTTTGGGTTTATGTGCTTATTTGTTTTGATTGAATTACTCTATTTTTATGAATTGCAAGTCAAGGAAGAAGAAGAAGAAGTAGTAAAAGAGCACATCAGGGTATAAAATTTAAAAAATAAATTTATCAAATGATATAAAAAGTAAAAAGTAATTGAACAAATAAAATTAATTGAAGTATACAATTTTGATCATTTTTCTATTCATTTTTTGGAAAATGGACCAAACACCAAAAGACAGTTTTTCGTTGTGCAGCCAAACACATGAAAGGAAAATGACTTTTGGAAAATGACTCATTTTGCAGAAGTCATTTTCCTGCTTTCCAAACGGACCCCTAAGCACTCTGCTAGTGAATCTGACACAAGTAGCGAAGCAAGACTAGAACCCACTTCTCCTTCTGGGTCGAAGACAACCAAGACTGCCAAATGGTTTCGACAGAAGTTAGGAAAAATGATGTCAATGAGAAGTGGAGAGAGCAAGAACACGAAAGGAAAGGCGAAGAAATAATTTTCTTTCGTGTAATATTTTCTTATGTACTCACATCCTATGACTCTCTATGGCCATCATCAATAAACATCTTTTTGTTGCGTGTTAATCCTACATGACCGAAACTTTATTTGTTTCACGTTTACTCAACACGAACTCATAACATAAGAAATTTCGATCAAAGAGAAGTAAATCTTTATTTGATTCACTTTATCTTTTGAGCATATTCTGTCACATCTATCACATTTCGTCAGGAATCTCTTCCGAAACCTTGGAAATCATGAATATCTTTTCAGAAATTGATTCCTTTTTCGTGTTAAGTCTTTCACATATGGAATATCTGTCATACCTCGAAATGGACGGCCACTTTCGTCTATAAATAGACAAGCCTTGCAATGGTATGATCATTCCATAATTTGGAGAAATGGATAAGGGAAAGAAACATGTATCTTTTTCTGTAACTTTGCCGAAGAGAGACATGAAAGAGATTCAAGAAAAGCTTAAGTCCCTAAGCCTATCACTTGAGCAAGGAGATAGCTCTCAAGGGTCACTTGCCAAGAAGCTCCCCTCTGCTATTCCTCCAGAACAATCCACCTCCACTTGGTCCATCCCCTCCTACTCTTCATGCCTTTAAAGATGATCCAAACTACACCATTTGGAAGGACTTCTTTGAGAAGAGGGCCCGATAGATTGAAGAGGACCAGTTCAAAAAAAAAAAAAAAAAAGACAAAAAGAGGCTAAGGTTGAAGTTGTTTAATATACTGTATTGCAGTAGGTCGAGAGATGTTTGTGCTATCTACTATGTGACTTGTTGTAATAAAACATCTCTATGTTTCGTGTGCTCTTTATATAATCAACAAATCTTCTAACACGAAACTTATGTACACGAAACATTAACCAGTTGATGACAACACAAGAATCTTTATTTGATTCTCGTAAAAGATCACACTTCTCCTAGAAGATTAAATGAACTGAAGGTTATTTGGAAATGAAGGGTCTCATCCATAACCGTTCGATGTGGTTGGTAGGAGAGATTGTGTGGCCTAAAACTTCGGCCCACTACCCCATGATCTCATGTCAGTCGAGGTGATAGGCATTAAATGCGGCTGTTTGCACTCGAGTATATTTTCTCTCTCCTATTTAATTGGGAACGATCAAAATTGATCTGATACTGACCCTATCAGAACTCCTTACCATATCGGCTTACCTTATTGGAAGAATTGGAAGAGTCACTCTCATTCAAAATTCAAATACAAGTCTGGTTTACCCAGTTGAACAATTTGACCCGAAGATAACCCGTAGAAAAACCTCTCCTTTTTAACCTAAACCACCACCCTTATCTCACTTTTTTTTTTCGATTTCAAAACCTCTCCAACACCCTCCAAACTTAAAATCCTCTCCTTGATCATCAAATCTCTCCTCTTTGAAACCCAGAAAACCCAGACCTTCATATCAGCAGCCATGGCCAAGAAATCCAAGACAACAGCGTCAGATGCTTAACAAGAGACGTCGGCAACAATGGTGCTACCAAGCTTCCCAACTTCCGACATCAACTTCATAGAGTCAAGAGTTCATTTCATCATTGGCAGATGTATGTGGGATGCATATGGCTTTCTCCAGTATGCACTTGACAAGTCTTTTGGAGAGAAGGTCATTAATCTCTTATAGGATAGTGGGTTATACAGCTTTGTAACCCATCTCTACACATTCTAGTTTCCGGTGGACGTCGCTCAGTTCTATCTGAATGCTAAGGTGTCCGCGGATGGCTCACAAATCACCTCCGAAGTCAATTGCACTGCCATATCGCTGACCTTTGAAGATGTGAAGAAAGCCTTCAACTTCCCGGATCGTGATGAGACGTACCATTCGGATTTTTCCGGGTACTACTATGAACAGAATGCATTTTATGAAAGCATTAAGAACAAGCAAGGACCAACCGAAATCACATGGCCCTTGAAGAAGAAATGGCTTCGGCTTGACTACGAATTCATAGTTGACATCTTCAACAAAGTAGTAGAGCACAAGACATCTGGGACGGATGGTGTAACGAAAGATAAGCTGAAGATGTTACACGCCTTTCTTCACGGCTACAAAGTGGACTAGTCGAAAGTTGTATTTAATCAAATTCGTCACATCATCACCTATGAACGATCATCACCAGGAGATATCCCAAAGAAATTTGGCTTTGGCTTTCTTGTAAGTCATCTTCTCGCTACGAAGAAAGTTCCCCTTCGTGCAGGTGTCCTCCCTGGCTCGAAGGCATAACACATGAAATCAAAACCTTCTGGCTATGAAAAACAGAAGGCACTGGAGTTGGAATTACCATTGGACTCGGTAAAGTCGAAACGTCAGTCCAAAAAGGCCAAAGACTCTGATGATGATCAGCCCAAGCCCAAGAGACGGAAGAAGGAAAAGGCCTCTTCCACATCCGTAACGAAAGATCTAACTGAAGCTCAGCCTGTTGCCGAAACATCAGAACCAAAATCTCTGGCTGATACCAAGAAAGATGATACACAAAAGACACCCCCAATCTCGAATCCAACAACAGAACCTGTTATAATTGAAGACTCGTCTGAAGAAGAAGTTGGTATTCGACCTAGCCCTGTACAAGCAACGAAAGGTCACTTCAGACCTACAATTGCAAAAGCCAATGAGATAATGACCAGATTAGCCCCTCCTCCTCCGTCCAGTTTGAAAGAAAATCTGAAAAAGAGATTTGCATCTTCTTAGGGGGAAGAAACTTTAAAGAGAAACGAAACTTCTCGCAAAACTTCAAAGAAAAGGAAGACAAGATCGGTAAGTACTGAAGGGTCTGCAAAGAACTCCTTGCCACAAGAACCTGTTTCAGCAGAGCAGATTAACCCGAATCTGACACAAGAACCTGCTGAGATAGAGAAGGAAAGTTTCCAACTTCCACCTTCATCTGATCACTTAAGTCTCCCACAAGAACCTGGCTTGCCAAAAGAGACGAGAGAAGTGGTCATTGATCCTTTTGTTATCTCAACACCCGCCATCGAAACATTCCTTCCACAAGAACCTACCCAAGCAGAGCAGATGATTCCCATACTAATACAAGAACTTGCTATGGTAGAGAGGGACGAAAACTTGCCACACCCTTCGAATCATTTAAGTCTACCACAAGAACCTGGCTTGCCATAAGAGACGAGAGAAATGATTCCAGTTTTTGATAACGATCCGAAAGCAGTGATGCCTGAATCCGAAGCTGCTCCACACTTAAACGATGCTTTACCAGTGAGACGAGAGCAGTAGTACCTATACCAGAAACTGACCCAACTCTTCCTCCAACAAGAGATCAATTGCTTCGACTCTCAACTGAAACTGATTACCAGAGAGTTTTGCAGTGGCAAAAGTGGCGCACTTCTCCTCTACTAACACTTCTTGAAACCTTTGATGGAATGAAGGATGAATAAGATTTTGCTCTCGAGTGGCTTAGCACACGAAACGTCTACGACGCAATAAGGCTTGAGACTATTAACCGAGTATATTCATACAAGGTGACCAACCGAACTTTGGGAAAAGAAAAGGCTCTCGTCTGCATTGAACTGAAGAAACCACCCCTTGATCCTGTCTTTGAAGAAGAAATGAAGGAATTCAGACTTGCTCTCCTATTATCCAAAGTCAAAACTGTGTTAGAGAAAAGTCATCAAAATGATCCAGCTTGCAATATCAGTGGATCCAAGGACGACAATGGGAAAGAAATTGAAGATGATGTTGAAGTCGAGGAAGCCGATGCCGAAGACGAAAGAGTAAACGAAGATGAAGATAGCAATGACGATGAATCTACTAAAAATGAATCTCCGAATGAAGGAAACAACGGAGATGAAGATGATGATGGAGAAAACAATGATGATGAGAATGATGACAAAAGGGACGATGATGAGGAGAATGAGAAGAAAAAGGACGATGATCAAAATGATGACATTGATGATGATGATGACGATGATGAAAATTCAGACTATGATAGTGAATCTCCTATCATAGGCAACACCGAACTCATACCCGACAGATCCCCCACACCTCACTCATCTCCACCCAAGGACACTCCTCCTCGTGATCCTTCCCCTTCTGTATCTCCACCAACAAATAGTCAGAATGTTGCAAATCCAGCAAGTGATGGAAAAATGGAAGCATCACCTCGTGATGGCAAAATGGAAGCATCACCTCGTGATGGTAAACTGGAAACATCGCCACGAGAACATCAAGTCATTCTTGAACACAGAAACGCTCTTCGCAAACTTATGAGCGTTCATCCCGAACAAGGCTATAATTTCGAATCTCTTGATCCCGAAAACATCATGCAGAAAATGTTAAACACAGTCCATCAAGCCGAACTTATACATCAACAGTATCTGTTTCATAGCGAGCAAGACAGTCGAACCCTAGAAGACCTGTCTACCAAGATGGACCAACTGATGAAAACTCTGTCTCAACAGCAAGTCAGCAATCAAGTTCTTCTACTTCAGATCCTCATGAAAAGATAGCAAAGGAACTCCACCGTCAAAGTCATCTCCTTGACAAAATTGCAAAAGAACATCACACTCTCAAGCTTTCCCAATTTGGCCTCAAAGAGAGAGTTGACCTCGCTTGCACAAAGGTCGATTTAGGACATGACAACATGTTCCGGATGGGAGAATATCAGCTCTAAATTCTCGAATATGTCAAAGATGTGCTTAATGCTATCAACAGGTTGTCCAAGCTTTCTAACTCCCCATGTGCTGATGCCAAAAAGGGGAAAAGAAAAGAAATGATGATGATGAGGACGAAAACAGAAATCGATCACCATCTCGCCCAGATGAATCTAGAAGGAATAATGAAGGAAGAACCACGGGACATGAAGAAGGAAGAAGCACAAGATCCTCACCGAGATCCACGAGACATGATGAAGAAAGAAACACGAGATCTTCACCCCCAGCATTTAGGTATCGACAACAGCCCTCTTCAAGATCCAAACAATACCCTATCAGACCTCGTCAATCCTTCGAATCCAATTCAGAGTTCATATTTTGTGGAAAAACGAATAGAGAGAACAAGAATTTCCGCCAAAGGCTGATGCGAAATGAGAATGTAACCATGGATGCCACAGGAAACTTCGTCACTTACCAACAGTGTGAAGTAGGAAGTGGAAAACGCTTTGAAGGATATAATATACCAGTATGGATGAAGAGGAAAGACAACTACTCTAGGCAAGTCTATCAAAGCCAAAGAAATGAAGAAATCAAGAAAGCAAATCTAGAGTTGTGGAACAAACAAGAAGAGGCGAGACTTGCAAGAGAGCATGAATTGATTGAATGCGAAAGGATAAAAGAAAAGATAAAGGATGTGACGAAGGTTGGAAAAGATGCTGAACCAGGAGTCAAATACAATGCCGCTTTCAAAATTCACACAGAATCAAGAAAGAATTACACTGAAGGAATGCATTCGTTCGAGCTCATTTCCTGGTGGAATCTTGGTATTGTTGAAGGAGAAAACATCCTTGAAGCATACAACAATTATGTGAGCTGCAACATCAAAGGAAAATATGAAGATCTCGTGAAAGAAAACCCTATGCAAAAGTTCAGATCCTTGATCAACCGAGACATTGACATGGATAAGATGCTCAAGCAACAAAAAGAGGAGATGACAAAGAACGAAAGGAAGCTCAGCTACAAAAGGCGAAACTTTTAGAAATGTAAAAGTTCTTCAACTATGCCTTTGACTATTTTGTAAGTGTTTTGATCTTTATATAAAAGTCATCATTTGTCCAAACATTCGTGTTTTTATCTAAGTTACTTGTTTGAATTACTTGTATCTTTCATAATTTCTTAGAAACTGAATGTAAACTCTTCTAAATGGCTATTTTGAAATGAACAATCCATTATGGGATAATTGTCAGCCTTATAGCAGAGTATAGGTTTTGGCATCATCAAAAAGAAAAAAATTATTAGGAACATATGTATTAAGATTTTGATGATACCAATGTAACTTAGATTGTAGACCCCTAAATTTTTATCAATTCTTTCGCTACCTTCGTTCTAGACAAAAGGTGCCATAACTCACCATGTAATTCGTGTTAAGATAGTCAAACACACGAAACCGAGTTATGATCGTTCTAGTTAGGACTCCTTGGATGAAAGAAGATCGAATGATTGAAGCAGAAGCTACATCAGCAAGAGAATCTACTGCTCGGATTTCCAACAAATGGAAAGATGCTCCATCACAGGACGAAAGCAATCTTCCGTGAAGAGACGTTAAGTCTATGATCAGACTGCCAAGACAATTCATCTTCTCGTAATTCAAGAGGAATGTTGTCCAAGTCTCAGTTGATGAATCATCCTAGGAACAAGTTATCCTAAGGACAAGGAGCACATAAATCAAGATGCATTAAATGCCATTGTACCTCTTTTCAGAGCTAGAAGACAAAACTTGTAGAAGTTCTTGCCACCAACGACTATATGGTACAACCGCATTAAATGGAGCATTAAATGCAGTAAGCTATCCGGACATTACCCACTGGTCCATAGGTTTGAAATACCATCTCCCTCCAATGGATGGATATTTTCTCTCCTATAAATACCCATCTTCTACATTGAAGAAGGTGCTGGTTTTTGCTCAATTGATCATATTCATACAAAAGCTCCTTATATAAGTTCACTCTTCCAAGCTTTGGAAAACCAGTGATTCAAGTTGTGAAGTTTCAAAGAGAGCCATCAGATTACACCTTCACAACCTTGAAGAAGTCTTGCATCTTATATACGTTGATCATCCATCATTCAATCAGTCAGTCAGGACTTCAACCTGTTGGAGAACCCCGCAAATTTCTTCTACCAACCCTCAACTCTGAAGAAGACGTTGATAGAGGCGGAGTAAACTCTCGGAGTTGAAAAACCTTCAAGTACCTGTCCGGCTTAGTGATCAAGGAAGCTAGCTTGACATAGTTTGTACTAGGAGTGATAGTGCAAACCTTTCACGAGTTGTGAAAGAAGAGTGGAGTAGGCACAGTTGGCCGAACCACTATAAAAATCCCTCGTCTCTCTTTCCTTATTTACATACTCCTTTACTTTCGTACATTGCATATCATAGCCCCTCAAACCAAAAGTTTTTATGAGCATAAAATAGAGCAAGGCAATATTAAAACTCGTTAAACCAATTCGTTGCGTAATAACCCCGAAAGAATTGAAGTTATTTCTGTAAAAATCGAATAGTCTATTCACCCCCTCTCTAAACTCTCCCTTCGACCCGACCGGGACCAACATATATATATATATATATATATATATATATATATATATATATATATATATATATATATATATATTATGACAATACATATAAGTACTCCCTCTTTCATGTTTTATCTGTCATACTTACTATTCATTGGTTAAATTATCTCTTTCTTTTTTTACTTATTTTAATTTGCATTTTCTTATGATTTTTAAAGTTAAAATTTTGTGCTTAATAGTGCTTTTAATGTAATTTTAAAATATATAAATGGGAAAAAATGACACGTTTTTTCACCCTGACTTATATGCTTACAGCAGTTTTTTCACCTGAGTTATTCTTGTACCTACATTTGCCCCTTCAGTTAGGTTCGAAGTGACTATTTCCCCCTCTTTTATGTTAGATGAACATTTTTACCCTTAAAAATAAGTATTTCATTTATTTTTTCTGCTCCAACAAATTATTGCTCGTATGTATGGATGACCACTGTTCTGTTCGAACCTAACCAGACACTCTAGCAGCCAAATCAAAATAGTATAGACGGTTCTAATTACGATTCAGAACCGGATGAATAATAATTATCGATTTTTGACTATTAAAAAAAAAAGAAATAGAATTTACAGCAAATAAATAAATAAATAAATAAATTTTGGTTTGAGTCACCAGTTTAAAGTTTATTTTATTTTATTTTTTTGTAAATTCTATTTCTAATTTTTAAAATAGTCTAAATTCAACAATTATTTTATTTTATTTTAAATTCCGATTTTGAGTCGTAACCAGAACCGTCCCTACTATTTTGATTCGGTTGCTACAATGTCCGGTTAGGTTCGAACTGTACCGTGGTCATCCATACATGTAAGCAATAATTTGTTAGGAAAGTCCTCGTGTTGCATCCCCCACCCAATTTTTCATGTTTGCTTGAGTCACCATGATTTACATCCTCCCAAATGCTCTGTCGGGCCGGGGTGTGGGGGGCCCTTAGGGTTGGGGTTCAGCCTTTGGAATAATAATTTGTTAGGAAAGAAAACTAAATGAAATACTTATTTTAAGGGTAAAAATGTCCATCTAACACACACAAAAAAAGGGAAAAACCGCCTCATTTACCATGAACGAGGGGGCAAACGTGAGTACAGGAATAATTCAAGGGGAAAACTACTATAAGCATTTAACTCAGGGGGAAAGAGTACCATTTTCCCAATATAAATTTTACATAAAAATTTTAAACTTGGTATTTGAAAAAATAAATTATGAATAATTTCATTAATTTCAATCAATCCCCGTTAATCGAACCCGTCACATAAAATGGAACAGATGGAGTATATTTTATCCAAGGTTTCAAGCAATAAAGTATTGCTGGTCACTTTCCATGCAAAGAGACAATCACTTCCAAGAAAAGTACGTAAAACAATGAGAGGTCTCAGGTTCGAACCCAAGTGTGCGGGCTTTGACTCTTTGTGCTTCAGTAGGTTGAGAAACTATGTATGAAGAGATATAACATTGTAATAGAGTCAATAAATACAAAATAGTAGGGACTTGTTGCCACATAATGAATACTCTTTTGTGTGTGTTTTTTTTTTTTGAAAGCCTCTTTTGTGTGTGTATTATTGCTATTATTATTATTTTTTTAGTTTTGTTTTGGGTGTCGAGAGAAACCATATCCACTAATTGAGAGTATAGCAAGTAAACCTTAATAAAAGTTGTGCACTTATTTCAAGACTAGTTTTTTACGCGCATTGCGCGATTGGGATAATGCCCAATATATTTTTTTTAAAATAAGTACTTTAAAGTATATCAAGGCAAGATTATATTGGAATTGTTCGTGCATAGATAATTGAATGTTAAATTTACGTATTTAAATAGGCAATTCTAAGTTTACAAATGCAAGATAATATAGTCAAGATTGATTATAATTGTCAACAAAATAATTGTATAGGTATGGTTGAAACCAAATATGGGATATAAGGGAAAGTAAATTAAAATTAGGGCATAAAATATTAAATATATACTAATATTGAAAAGTTAATTGCTGATTGCCAAACAAGGACATTGCGAGGTAGTTTCCTACTTCAATTTGTTATGTGATTTGAATACTCATTTTGTCAATAAATCCCTCAAGTAGTTAATATGATTGGCTTAATTATATTTTTTTTAATTTTTTTTTTAATTTTTTTAAAACTATTATTATTATTATTATTATTATTATTATTATTATTATTATTATTATTATTATTATTATTAAATATATGTTATACCCTTATGTCATTTTACATGTTAATCTAAAAAACAACTAATTTTTTTAAATATCTTTTTACCACTGTTGATATAATTCGCTGGTCAAATTCGCTAATATAATCCGCTAACGATAACTGCTGATTGTCAAACAAGGACATTGCAAGGTAATTCTCACTTCAATTTGTTGTGTGATTTGAATACTCTCATTGTCAACAAATCCCTCAGATAGTTAATATGATTGGATTTATTAATTATATATTTTTAAAATTTTTCATTGTATTAATAAAATACTTGGTAAACAACTATATAGCATTATTTTGTATTATAACTTTGATATTTAATAATAAAATAGTGCACAAAAAAATAATAGACAATGTAGTGAATATAATCAATTGATGAATTTGAAATTTGAATCTAAAGAATTTTTACTTGGATAAATATAACGACAATAGAACTAATAAAATTACATCTCTTAATTAATTTATTGATAATGAATAATTTTATTTTTTATTTTAGTAAAGACATTGTAGGGAACATATATAAAGAATTTATTGACAATGTAGCGAACATAATCAATTGATGACTTTGAATGTAAAGAATTTTTATATTGGAGAAAAATAA